ACATCTGTACTGCTGTCAGCAGTATTGCTCAGATAGAGGTAGCTGAGCTAGCTTTAAATGAACTAGCTCAGGTGCTGGAAACTATCTAGCTGTGGCAGCAGAGTTTAGTCCAGTCTAATTTCCCTGATGAAGCAAGGACAGGAGGATCTTGGGTTCCTTACAATTCAGGTATTTGCTATCACTTAAGAGAGCTGGTAAGCTATTGCTTTGTGAGTATATTTTTGAAAGTCATGATTTTACAAAGTGTGGTGCTGTGTTGTCAAACAAATGCAAATAAGTAACATCTTCAGCCACTGCAGAGGGCTCACCCCCAAAGGACAAACTTATTTTCCTTCAGGAATGCTGGTGCTAATTTCCATTGTTGTGTTTCAAGGTTTTGCCACTCTGGAAAGGCCCTCACCAAAACTGCAGATAGTGGGGCATTTTTTCTAGCAAGAGATGACTCACTTGGGGTTTGGGTTTTTGAGAGAGTGTTCTCCCCCCCCCCCCCAAACACAGAGGTTTTTTGCAACTTGCTATTTAGCTATATCACTCTTGTGCTAATATTTTCTGCTCTGTGGTGGTTTGTGAACATTGGCTGAGAGATTCAAGGAAGATCTTATTCTTTTGTTTTAGAATATCGGATTTCGTATTTTGATTTGATGCTGTTGACAAGGAGTGCCCAAAGCGTTTGAGTAATGTATTGAACAGCTAGAAATATATTACACATTCAGAACAGCTAAAAATTCTTTGAAGGAAAACAAAACAGCAACAAATAATTCTCTAATAGTAGTCTGTATTTCAACAGGTTAAGTCTCCTGCTGGGAGTACTGGGAGAATTGGTTTGGGTTTTTTTTTTTTCCATAACACATGAGGATAGTGTTACCAGAATTAACTCACCTTGGATTACCTTAGTCAATCACTACAGTTAATAGTAAAATGAACAGTAAATTCTTTGACATCAGTCAACACATATATAAAATAACTTCTCTTGGAATTTTCAGTGGTGGTTAAGGACAGCAATCAAAAGACAAAACAGTATTCAGTCAAAATAATGATAAGATTTTAGTCGTGTGTGTGAGTAGGTTCTCCCCAAACAGAAACTTCCTACAAATACGGCATTGTTCAAACATTTCATGGACTTTCACTATGTTTTTAAATTACAGAAACATGGATAATTTTAAAAATTAATTTTCTAAATTAGGTATTTTCTCTCCTGTAGTTCCTCATTGGTCATTTGGAACAGTATTTCTTATTAACTGATAGTGGTGCCACAAATCCATCCTTATCATGAGCAGTAACAAAGATAGTAATACACTGGTGAGGGGCGTTGCCTCTGGGAATATCGTTATAGACGCTAGGTGATGAAACGGTGAAATGGGAAGCATTCACCTTGCCATGTAAACTGTCGGATTTTGATGTGCAGGTTGCAGAGGCTTATCTGTGATACTGAGTTACAACAGCTTGAATATATCTTAAGTTTAAACTGCAAACTTTAGTTGGTTAAAGAATATGTTTCTAATGCTAGAGGAACTTTAAATGTGTTGAAAGAGATTATAGGTGACTGAGTGCAAGGCACCTGGAGTGATTTTTAAATAAATTTTTGTAATCTTATATATTGCTATAATATAACACTACATACTGAGACTTCAGCAAATTTTCCCAGAGGTCCTTCTTGCTGTTTCCAATTTGGAGAATGAGGTGAGCCTTAGCATCAGCATGTTAAGTGTGCTGGGCCTGAGAATATGATGTGGGTTAGAAAGTTTCATACTGTAGTAAGCCAGGTACATACCAGAGGCAGGAGAAAGTTCCTTTTTGGACAAGCTTTTTCTGATGTGATGGTTGTTGCCTGATACCTTTCAAGAAGCAGTGAGGAATTAGTTTGGATAATATTCTTGGGAGTTAAGGTAAAAAGTTGCTTTCCAGAATGTTCAGCTTTTTGCCTACTAACCTGTTCCTTGGAGCATGAGATGTAAACAGTGGGAGGAAAAAAAGACTTTTGATGCACCTCCATTTACAGGGCTGCTGCAGTGATCTTGAATGGTGGAGGGAGGGTTGTGCAGGTAGTTGAGAGCGTTATGGGAGGGTCTTTGTTCTTACTCACACCTGGCCTGTAACCACAGAGGAGAAGCTGGAAGATGGCTTGATGAGAACAAAAACACCATGCCTTGAACTTTCCTGTGCTTTTCTCTCTGATTCAGTGCTAAATTCCTCATGCTATCTGGGGTGATACCTGTAAAATGTTAGCATTTTGCCTTATAAAGAAGTATGGTCAGTAAGGGGTTGACTGACTGGTAATATGCCATCTATATAATGGTGCAAAAATACATAGTAAAGTATCTTATGTATTGGACATTGTGAGAGAGAGAGATGAACTGGTATTAATTCAGTTTCCAAAACATGAATATCAGTTCTTATTTTAATTCAGCTCTTACTACTTCTAAACAATCTCTTGTTCATGAAGTTTATAACACCACTGGTCACTTCAGGAAAGCATTCATATTTTTCCTAATTATTCAAAAATATCTTTCAATAATTGTATAATATTAGCATGTTGAGCTATTCATTCTTTTTTTTTTTTCCTAGCTAGGGCATGCAAATTCAATTATATCAACATTACTAACTGTAGAAGTACTTCTTTTTGTACTGCATGAATTATTGCTAATAAAAAAAAAAGCAAACTAATGTCATGCTCCTAACTATGTCAAGGAAGCCTTCGTTTACTTCATTCCTGTTGTTCCAATGAGATATTGTATCTGAGTCTAACTCCTTTACGGTTGGAAACAATAATTTTTCGTATTAAAGTACATGTGAAAGTACTCTACTACTTAATCGGAGGAAAAACCCTAATCTGTCCACTAAATGTTCTTTGTTGCTCTCACTCTTGTTTCATCAATCTTGAATGTTGTAATTCAGCTGGTCCCAAGATTTTAAGTATATCTTGCAGTTTGGCAGCAGCAGGGGGAGTAGTGTAGCTTTATTTGGGGTCTTTCCTTGACCAAAACTAGAGTTAGTTGATTATTAGCCCAGAACAATGCTGTTCAGGCTCAAAAAATCAGCTTATGTTAGGAAATCTTCCACTTCTCTCTCTCTCTCTCTAGGTGAGCTAGAAACATTATTCTGCAAGCTTTGCCTTCCTTGCTGCACTTCTGTAAAGCCCAGGTCCAACAGATGTAGAAGTGTACCTGCTACGGGTAAATGATGATCAGGTTTTACTCAGCCTTTTTTGTCTCCTGGTGCAGAAGCAGGTCAGGCCAATTAGACTCGCAGTCGTGAGGCTGGAAGGGATCTTTGGGACATGAGCTGGTTCAGCCGCCTGCTCAGAGCTGGGCCAGCACTGAATGCAGACCACGGCTTTGCCCAGTTCAGTCTTGAAAACCTGCAAGGATGGAGATTCTTGCACCTTTCTGGGTAACCTATTCTACTGCTTAATTATCTTCACAGGGAAATATTTTTCCTTATGCTGTCCCATCCTAATGTATTATAAGTCCCTTCCACCTGAAATATTCTATTCTATTCTATTCTATTCTATTCTATTCTATTCTATTCTATTCTATTCTATTCTATGACCATTGTCCCTTGTTCCCCTGCCATGCACCTCTGTAAAGTCTTGCTCATCTCACATTTTATAATGTGCTTTGACACCTCAGTTTGTTGCCTACATATTCTATTGTAAATCAGGGTTTTTTTTCTACTGTTTTATTTATTTCATAGATTTCTTATTGAAGTCTCTGGTCGAATGTTTTTGGTCAGTGACACACACTATATAAAATACCACCAAATGTTCCTATTTTTTGTAAGACCATTGTATTGTTGGTTCATGCTCAGTTTGTTATCCCCTATAACATATACATCCTTGTATTTCCTATAAGGAACTGCCTTCTGTATTACAAATATACAGACCTTCCCTGAAACATTACTGTCAGATCCTTGTACGTGTATCATTGCAGCAAACATCTTGGACTTTTTTTTGGTCAGGGAAGGAGTCAGTGTAGACAGTAAATTTGAAAATGCAATCCAGTGCAAGGTGGAGAGCAAATAGCATGGTAATGTGTATGTGTACTCATAATATCTTAAACAGAAACTGATTTTAAAATTTAATTACTGTGCAATCTAATATCATACTGGTCAAATCTACATTCATGGATTTTTTTGCACCTTTATATTTCTATTGTTTTTACTTGCAAGTTAATTTAGTCTTGTGCTGCACATAATATGTCACTATGTTCCCACATGAATTTAAGATAAAAATATTGTTTTCCATGTATCTGCCTAGGTTTTCTCTGTGAAAATTCGTTAGGGTATTGTGTTGCTGCCATGTAATTGTAGCTGTGCTAGATTTTTGGCATTTGAATTAATCCCTTGCATACTTCCTCAAAATAAAAGTTATTTAGGTAAGTTACTGACATAATAAAATAAACCTTTTAAAATTATATTCCTATATACATATGTGTGTGTAGGAAGAAGACCGAGATCAGGATGCCATCGGTGGAAAGAAGATTATTGATCGAACATTTCTTTCTGTTTCCCAAATTACTGCTTTGTCAGAACAAAATGTGGAAGGAGTTCAAAAGTAAGTGGCAATGATAGCAATGCTAGAACCAATATAATAAAATGAAATAAAAATTATAGAACATTTGTTAGATTTCTTTTGTGATGGTTATGTCATTAGTCTTTAATTGTTTAGTTAAATCATTGATATTTAATATGATTCATGAAAGGTAGGAAGAAATACTGTTGATCTCAGATCCACTTTTTTTTACTGTATTTCCTATATCTCTTGATTTTTCTTGGACTTCTTTTTTTTTTTCCCCACTGATATTTCGCGTTGATATGGTTTCTGAGTTTACAATAGTATTAAATATGCCGTAAATGAAATACTAAGATGTAAATAAGAACAGGCCAGTACTGAACTTTGTTTGTAAGTCTCACTTAGTAACTTTTTTGCTCAAACATTTAAGATTCTGTACTGTAACATGAGTTATTGAAAAATCAGAAAGGTTTTAAAAGTTCAGAAAGGGATGGAAAGCTTAAGAAGGTATTAGTAGGTAGCCGTTATGGTGCACTGTGGAAACAGGAGGCAGCCAAAGACTTCTGATGTAAGCCCGTCTTGTCTTTCCCATAGCAACACTCTCCCTTGTTATTAGTGCTTAATAGCAGCTAAATTTAGGAGGCCAGGAGTTCAGTCTGAGACTGTAGACTTATATTTTAAGGATGGGAAGTTCTCAAATTATTTAGGAGCACTTGTGTCCCCTAGCAAATTCTTAGTGAATTGAAAGCCAAAGGGCTGGTCCACTGGACCAGTTTGTGGGGTGTGGGGGAGATGGGAAGGTGTAAAAAAATCCAACCTTGTCCCTCTGAATACATAAACCATTTAACAGAGATTAAAATAGTATTCCTGAAATATATTCTGTTCCTCCTATTTGTCACTGTTCTGAGGGGAAAAAAAGTTCTTTCTGTTTTGTTTTTTTTTTTTAAGAAAACTGGAAAGAAAATGTATTCCCATCAAACAATAAAAAAATTTCTTTCATTTACTGTTTTCTCTTGCACAATAGGCCTCTTATTTTAGAGGAGGCTGAAGCGTACAGCTCATGGGAGACTAAAACATGCTTAATGATGCAATTTATTGTGAAACTTTCTCATTAAGACTAAAAAGAAAAGCATTGAAAGATCGTATGTTTCTTCTTAGTCTCAGCTGATCACATACGTATTTATATATATATACTGTACAAGTGGAACGTAAAGTATATACTGCATCTGACTGAAAAGAGGATAGTTACAGGGTATTTTTTGCACTCTAAGCAGTTTAGCAGCAGCATTGAAGTTTTGTTAGTTTACCACAGTGCATCGTGTCTATACACAAGAACAGTTTGAAGGCCACAGCTAAGGTTACAAAATTGGAACAGATCTGTTGATGTCCTGCGTTCCCATCTATCACAGAGTTTTATACTGCTGTCCATCTCTGTAGGACTTGAGCACCTTCCGTGAAGGAAGAAACAGCAATCAGGGTAACCAGGAAATCTAAATGCCCATCATTTCCCAGTCATTTATAGATACTGTTGTCAATGACATGCCTTACAGAATATTGAAAAGATGAGTACTGGCGTTGTTAGCAGCATCAGAGAAAATCTAAATCCCTGAGAAGCTCTGATTATGAAAACACAGAGTTGGCAGAAGCTTCAGAAAGAGAGGATATGGACTGTTTCAAACCTTGGAAAGTTCAACTGGCCACGTTCCACTTCTATTTCAGTACAGAGTTAAGTGTTTTTAACCAACTTGCATGTGTACAGCCGTACAAATTTGTCATGCAGAACAAAGGAATACATGTTTTCAACAAAACTGATTGGATTATATGCTTTACTTTGCTTAGCTATTGAGGCTTTAATTAAAAAAAGAAACTCATCTTATTTGACAGTGTATCTCTACTGGCTTGGTGAAAACCCTGAAAAACCAATGGTTGCCTATCAGTAGGTCTGAGATTAATGCCCTTCTTAGGAAGAATGAGAAGCGGGAGGGAGGGCGGGGACTAGAAACTGTGAGCACAACTGGCACCTGTATCATCAGGTATAGTTAAGAAGCCAAGGATTGCTTTAACGTAAAACTTAACCGCCCGAGACATGGCTGAAGTTGTGCTGGAAGAACTGCAGACTGAAGTCCCAGCCCTGATCCCCTCTCTTCATGTGGAAAAATGTGCACAATTATTATAAAAGACATAACTAATTCTATGTTTGGATAGAGTAGACATAAATGTGTCAGCAACAGCATGGTTTCCTACAAGGGAGTGTATTTTTTCATTACTTCTTCAAGTTAAAGTACGTGGAAAAATTTCCACAGCATGCCAGTAAAATAAGATGAGGTTCTTAAATGTCTTGACCATTATGAAAGTGGAATTTAAATGTCTAAATATTTTAGGTACTTTCAGTAATTTTATATTATATTATTTACATTAATTTTCAAATGTAATTTTTCTTCAGAGGCTACATGAAAAATAATCTTGAAAGGGAAGCAAGATCTTTTTAGTACTGAAAAACTATCTCAACCAGAGTGAAAGAGTGGTAGTAGAAAGTGGAGACTAATTGTTCCATTTCATCCTACAAACCCCTTCCTGAACAAACACTGATTTTACTCTGGGATTTTCAGTGTATTTCTCTTTGTTTTGTGTAATGCTCTTATTTTTGTTATTGCATTAATCATATCTTAACATTTAAGTAGTGGCTGTTGAAACCTGTAGGTGTTTGTTTACTTTTGTTGGTTGATATGTCCTCTGATCATAAACGTTCATATCTAGAAATTGATGTAGCTAAGTTCCAGGAAGATATATACATATATGTATAGTATAATATAATGTAATAATAGTAAGTATTATATATATAATTACAAGCAGACTAAGTTAAACTTTGGAATCTGTATTTTATTTTTTAATTTCATTATTTTACTCTGCAATTTCTTCTAGAAAGCTGGAAGAATTTCTGAATTTTAAACAATTAAAGACATCTTTGAAAGAAGCTATTTTGCTAGACTATTATACTGCGGGATTTTGGTGGGCTAAAGAAATGAACTTCAGTCTTATACAGCTGTCAGGGTTCATGGATCTATTAAATTTCCTGTTGGAGAACCTCAGTGGTAAGTATAATTAAAAACTGTAAAATAAATATCTGAACTGAAAGGCAAGAATGTTTTCCAGTCACTTTAATAAAGAAATATTTAATTACGAGTAATTGTAAAACAATTTATTTTCCTCTTGAATGTTGGCATCTTATACCTCATACCTGATAATAATTCTTATTGGCAGACGTTAAACTTTTGTTAGAGAGAACTGTAGTCTTTTTAGCCGAATATCCCTCATTCTTTGTTTGTACAGTATGTGGTACAAAAGGGCCAGGTCCTGAAAAGACCTCGTCTTTGCTATGGTAAAATAAATAATAATTATAGTAGAGTGAGAGCAAGGAGCTCCAAAATTCCAATTCCAGCTGTCTCAGTGACTGACTCACTGTAGCCCTGGGCACATTTCTCTGCTGTTTGAGATATTCAGTACATCCTGTAGCATTACAGTAGGTGAATTACATTTATTTTATCCTTGGAGGTCAATTCTCAGGCAACTTTCTATATGGCAAATGCTGCATTTCTGGCACAAAATATATTGGTTAACTAAAGACTGGTGAGGGAAGTAAACTGGCATCACTGCTGAAGATGAAAAATGACAATGAAAGGACTGTAGCTCCTGTGGCTATGAGGAAATTTGCAACAAAGCATGTAGCTTGGGTCTAGTGGGAACAAAATAGCCAGAAAAAATGGTAGCAGCATCCTCTAAAACCCGTTTTTCAGAGATCACAAGGCTTACTTAACATTCACTTTGAAGGTGATTATGTCGAGAAAAGTCCATCCCAGAGGAACAGCGAAAGGACTCAGGGTTTCTATTCAAAGAGCAGATGAATATTTAAAATCAAGCTCATAATAGTTTTTATAGTCTTTCATTGTAATTTAATTCAAGGGCCTTTCTGACTTGGAATTTTGACAGAATATGTACGTGCTTTATGATCATTGGAATTCCAGTTGTCCTTCCTGTCTCCAATGAGAAAGTATCTTGACATATGCTAACTATATTAATATAACAATGGAGAAGAATGGAAACATGTCAGAAATTAGTTTTATGAGACTGTATGTAATGCGTGTGTACTAGACAGGCTGGTAGCACAACCGATTATTAAAGCTGACTGACGTTTTTCAGGAATGTAAGCTTAATTACATAAAGCTTTGCCAAACTTTAACTCTTTAAGCTGAAATTTTCCATGGTGGTGTCTGCCTCTGATTAATTTTTATATATAAAATTACAACTAAAACAGTTCAATGGGCTTGCAGGCAGAGGCTGTGGGAAAAAAAAAGTATTATTTTGTGTCCTTTTTTTTTTTTTTTTTTTTTTTTAAACTCTAATACCCCTCGTCTTCGAAAAAAAAAAAAAAGGT